TCACTTTACACTTACTTCTAAAAATTTCTTTCTCTGCCTATCCTATTTCCCCGCCCCCCAAAAACTCTATAACCACCGTTTTTGCAGGACAAAATGCTGGGACTACGGGTATATAAGTGGGCCTACATAAGCTACTTTTGCCGGAATGTAAATTCACTTGGATGGCACCTTAATGCTGTCCGTTGTATGAGGTCGGTGATTCCTGACAGTTTTAATCTCAAGGATGTCCTGACGTGGCCTCAGATGTCGTTTGGATTTGAGGCAGGACAAGACAGTGTGGTAGTTAACGCCTGCAATGGCCACGCAGCCTGATGCGGTCTGACCTGGAGAAACTTCGCCGCAATTGATTTCAAATTCAGTTGGAATTTAAATAAACGCATGGAGGAGTTTAATTTTCACCGTCGCTGGACTTTGAGATTTGGAGAAGAGTCGGGTGCCTTAGGTAAGCGGCAGAATGATTGCCTCTAGCTTGAAGTGTTAACGACGAATACAGAAATAGGTGGCCTTAGTTTTGTTCCTGTTTTATTTCTCCTTATCCCCCGCATTTCGTGTCATCTTCGTGCATTCCTGTGTACATTCATTTCACCAAATTTCAGGCTTTAGTTTCTGCAAAATTACATATAAAAACAGAAAGGAATGTGATTACTTCACCGATGTGTTGAAGTAAGCAATTAACATCAGTGTTTCGGCTTGCATTGGAGAAAGCAGCCTACACTGGGTCCCGTTTGGTCTTCTTGACCCCGGGTGACGGTGAAGAGTGCTGCTGACGCTAAATACGTCCGTTATCACTTTAAACTACCCCCAGAGGCCGTCACCCTCTGTACCAATCTGTTGGTGCACTTTTGGACTTCATCGAAATGGATGGTCGAACATCATGTGTACACAGAACGAATAGCTCGACAAAACACCTAGTTCCCCAAACCATCGGCCCGAACCTGTCAACCAGTGTGGAGATGGACTTTGACTGTTCAAGTGATCCAATTGGGAAAAATTGTGGCCTCGATGGAATATTTCACTATTGGGTCAATTGGTTTATGCAAATCTGCCAAACCCACTTCGGAAATGGGTTCCTCGTTTACTCTTCGAGGCGTTCACAATTAAGGACAGTCAATCTAAGCCTTCCCATCAATCGCGAGAATCCTTCTCATTCCATTCATTTGTCTAGATGAAAACGGCCGCCACCGGCTCATTTTCAAATCCCATATAAGCAGCTTGCTTTTTTCGTAGGTTAACCTCTCGATAAGAAGGGGGGCAGACTGTCATACTTTGATCGTTGACGGCGGTTGTACTGGTAGTTTCTCAGGAGCCTTCAAAAATAGGTGGGCAAACTTTTGATCTCCTCATAAGTCACAGTGTGCGCAAACGAAGTCAAACCTGATTTATGTTAATGCGCCGTGGCCGCGTAGCAGTCTCTGTTAACTTCCAGCAGGTGTGACATTATCTTTGGCGCGATCTTAGGGAGACGGAAAGTTACACAACCAGATATCTGGCGTCGCGCCATACTGAGGTGAAATGTGGACCACCCGAATTCGCCTCGGCGACGGGGCCAGGCATGGCGCCACGACTGCCATTTGCGCGATATTAAATTGCCTACGAACTCTTCCAGCCAGCAACCATCTCACATTGACAGAATAAATAAATAAACGGTAGGTGGCCTGTACTACAAAATTTTAACAGAAACTCTGACGTTTACTGCCGACTAAAGGTCATTGCTTAGATTGTCGCGCAGCACGAACTCAAGTTACTTCATTGACGTCAGGATTTGAACTTTTTATAAACGGAATAGGGTATGGATAGATTTTGCAAGCCCTCTTTGTCGCTAACGTCTTTCTGCATCCGACAAAGCAAAGGGAGACCGCAATGGCCATGTTGGCATGTTAGCCGTGATCAGTCAGTTATACCCAACCTTAAGGGTTTGAACCCCAGAGATTCGAACCCAGGACCTTTGGACATTGAGTTTACCATTCTACCACTGCCCCACTCCATCATATGTCTGAAATCGCTAAGTGACAGCCTGCAACCACTCAAGTACGAGATTCGAGGCACCACGGGACAATTAGATTGGATAGATCGG